CCTGCCTCACCTCTCCGCCCTCCCTCCACAGGGCCTCATGTTCCAGTGCAGCGCCGGCTGTTGTGAGGACAGCCACGCGTCCATGCAGCAAGTGCACCAGTGCATTGAGCGCTGCCATATGCCTCTGGCTCAAGCCCAGTCCCTGGTGACCAGCGAGTTGGAGAAGTTTCAGGTAAGGAATATCCCAGACAGAGGACTCCAGCCCTTAGTGTTGGTCTTTTGCAGGAGATGACAGGCATTTGTTCAAAACTCTTGGCTTTAGTGTCTTCGTTCTGTGTTAACATTTGTGACAGTGCTATAGCCAGCTAGTCTTCACAGGATTTTAAGTTATAGAAAAAATCCTGGAGGTTGAGTGCTATAAGAATTTCCCACAGAAACAATGTAAAAGGGAGTTACCAAGAGCCTCATGATTCCCCTCCCCCACTGACACCAAATATAAAATATGTCTGTACAGTGTAAAGCTTTCCAAAACATAGTAACTTAGAGCAAGATCCTACCATCACTTTGTAGATTTGCCCACCAAGAACACCCCTACTTTCTACACCCAGAGGGCAGCCCCCGTGTCACTAAAGAGCAGTCTTCATTTATTTGAAGAATTGTTGTTGTTGGCTTGCTGATTCCTATCTCACAAGCTTCTCTGGGGTCTCTAAGAGCCCCCCATATCCCTCCCTGGAGCAAAGGGTAGCCACAACTTCATTTTACTCCCTTCCTCGGGATATATTTTCCTGGAACTTGGGGGAAGCAGGGCCCACTTCTGAACCAGTTTTTCATAGCCTGGGATTCTGTTCACATGGCAAAATTATATCTCTGATACATCTTTACATTCTATATAAAATTCTTCAAAATTACTGAGGCTATAAGAGAATAACTTCTCCAAGATCATGGAACTCCAAGAGGGTTTCTTGGTGTTTGACACCTTATTTTACTGCTAGCGTCTTTCAAAATTTGCTTCTTTAATTACTGTATAACTTTCTCCTCCCATTCACTTTTCAGTCCTCTCCAAGCTGACTTACTCTTCCACTGTGCCGGAACCACTCTCACCATTCCCCTCCATGGGGCTGAAATCAGTGGTTATTTTCATTCCTCATCTTACTCAGTACATCTGCATCTTTGATACAGTGGTTCATTCGCCCCCCTCCTTAAAACCCTTTATTCAGTTGGCCTCAGGATAGACTAGCTCACTCTCCTGGGTTTCTACCTCTCTCCTTGGCCATCCTTTCTTGTTCTTATTTACTGATTGTTCCCATCTCCAGCCTCTGAGGAGCATTGGAGTGCCCAGGGCCAACCCTGGACCTTTTCTCTTCTCTGTCTAGTTCTCTAGTCTCGTAGTTATAAATATCTATATGCTGACAACTCCTACATTCATACCTCTAGACCAGCTGCACTCCTGATCTCCAGATTCATATTCCCAACTTTTTTACCCAACATCACCACTTATTTATTTTATTTGTCCATCTGCCCTCACTGGAATATAAGTTCAATGAGGTCAAGAACTTTATCCATGTTACTCAATGCTGTATTCCCAACATTACAAGAGTCCCTGGCACATAGCTGATGCTCAATACATTATTTGTTGACTTGAGTATTTCTCTGTAGCAAGGACAGACCTTACAGAATCAAGATGTTTGAAAATCTGTAGTTGAGTAACAGTGGCCTCTAGTTACTTCTCACTTCCTGGAAGAAGCTTCTGTATAATTTATTCTATTCTATCATTCATCTGCTTTCTAGTAATGCTTTGTCTGGGCACCCGTGTCCTTTTTTTCTTTTTTAATATATATAGTGTCCCTTAAATTGATCAAGATAATACATGTCAAGCCAAAATATGCAGCACAGAGCCTGGCACATGATAAGCACTTGGTAAATAAAGCTCAGCCTCTCAGTCTTCTCTCCCCTTTTCCTTCTTGCCACAGGACCGCCTGACCCGGTGCACCATGCATTGCAACGACAAAGCCAAAGATTCAATAGATGCAGGGAGTAAAGAGCCTCAGGTGAAGCGACAGCTGGAGAGTTGTGTGACCAAGTGTGTGGATGACCACATGAACCTCATCCCAACCATGACCAGGAAGATGAAGGAGTCTCTCTCATCCATGGGGAAGTAGAAGTCTGCTGTTGGCCATCCGGGCTAAGGGCAGGAATCTATTTTAAAAGAGGAATGAGGATTTGGGTCTTTTAAGCAAAGTTTATGAATGAAGAAATTAAGGATGGCAGCACATTTAAGGCCTACGTCACTTCCTTCTGGACACTGTTTCCTTTGTGTTTCAATCCTAAAAAGTGAGATGGAAAAAACTGGTGCTAAAATTTGGGTCAGAGATAGCACAGGTGTTTTTGAGAGCCCAAGTGTCACGTGGCAAGTGCTTATCCTGGCAGCAGGGATCTCCCTTGTACCAAACCGGAGCCCTCCGAGGTACCAGATTGTCATAGTACACAGGTACCATCAGGTGGGCAGGTTCCTCTAGCCTGCCTGTGATCTGGTGGTGTGAAGAGAGGTGTTTCTGTTTGTTGTCAGCTTCCTGTCTACCGGAAGGATCACCACACCATTTTCCATAAACTGTAAAACAAAATACAGGAGGTTACCAATTTAAAAGGGAAAAGGAGACTTCTAGGGTTTGGTTTGGTTTGGTTTGGTTTGGTTTTATAGACACAGGCATGAAGTTAAGATGTGGCCTTGGGAGAGTTAATTTGCATAAGATCTTTGAAACGGTCCTTGTGGGTATTCATTTCTGGCCATCAAGGTGTGGATGCGCATTTCTTAAATTACATTACATCTTTCAGCCTGGAGTCCCTACAAAAATATGAGAGGTGATGTCACACTGGTATGGAAGCAAACCTTCCCTCTCGCTGGCAGCCATGATTGGCCCTGAGGCTGCCTGCAGCAGTGACAGGACAATCTTGCGGTGACACTCAGCCTTGAAGGGAAAGGAGGTTTTGTGCTGTGCACTAGTATTCAGGAGTGAACAGTGAAAGAAAAACAGTTAGCTGCTTAATTAAGAGTTACGAAGTACTGGATTTGAAAAAATCTGGTTTTCATAAAACAGGATAGAATGAAAGCTTAAACCCAGTATTGCTTACTTTGCCCCCTGAAATGACAGAGCTCTATTGAGACAATCTCTTGGCAACACAAAGGGGATGGGAGAAAAAGTAAGCATCTTGGGGGTGAGCTGTGACTTTTTTAGAGCTAAAGAGGGACAGCCCCCCACCCCCATCACCAAATACCACTTTTGCCAGGGCCTTTGCAAAATGCATTGTTCTTCCCCTAGTTCTGGCACCTTACCGTTTTGTTAAGTAAGTTGTTGTCTTTTTACCAATTTATTACTTGAAATGTTAATGTAGCCTGTCTGTTTGCTGTTTCAAGACTGTGATATATTTTCCTAGTGGTTTGGTTTTAAAAATAAATAAGGTTTAATTTTTCCTCCATTATTGTGTTTATTTCTTTATGTCTGGGCAGTGAGGATATAACTGTCACGATGCTTCTCTTTGTAATATGTGAAATAAATGTAAGCCGTCCAGGGAAGTGAAAATTAGTTTTGTGATATGATTCAGGTGCTTGTAAATGGGAAGAACTTTGAGGGCAGGCTAGGGCACTACAACCTGAAGTCCATTCATGTAAAAAGACACTATAAGGTTGAAAAAAAGAAACTCTGTTCACATCAGGTCTCTAGCTTCAACTAACACTAACAGCAAAAGATGGAAAAGATAGACAGTTACGGCCTCTCTAGAGAAAATGCAGTGTCTAGGATTTTGAGTACCAAGAGAGTACAAAACATATGAGTTTAAGTCTACTATCACTGGCATGTAAATAGAGTTTTCTGGACATTCTATTTTGGCCTAGGTCTTCTATAATCCCTGTTGTATTTGATTCATAAATGTAGATGCTCCTGTTTTGGGCAACTTAACTAGGAACAAGTAAGAGCATATGTTGAAAATCAATACCTCAGATCGTGTGTGTGTGTAAGTGTGTTGCACATCATATTTTATATAGATGGGCAGAGTACATTTAGTGGGGCTTTGTAGGCCTTGTTAACAAGCATTGCAGGACCATCTGTCAGGAGTACAGTTCTGGGTTCTAGAAATTCTTGGAAGCTGAGGCCCATCACCCTACTCTTTTGATGCAGCGGTCACTAACTGAGCTGTTACTAGAATCCTAGGCTTTGCATGACATCCTGTGGAAATACAGGCAAACCTCAGAGATATTGCAGGTTCAGTTGGAGATCACCACAATGAAGCAAACATCTCAATAAAGTCACACAAGTATTTTGGTCCGATCACGGATCACCATAGCAAATATAACGATGAAATCGTTTGAAATACTGTGAGAATTACCAAAATGTGACACAGAGGCATGAAGTGAACAAATGCTGTTGAGGAAGAAAAAAATGGCATGAGAGATTTGCTGGACTCAGTTGCGACAAATCTTAAATTTAGTTTTTAAAAAAAAAAAAAAGCAATCTCCACAAAGCGCAATAAAGGAAAGCGCCATACACGGGAGGTATGCCCAAACATGCTGAACACATTTCAGGGGCCCCACTCCTCTAGAGCTTATTTTCATTCGGCACGTACGAAGAAGATAAACACTGCAACTCATAAAGACAAGGGTTTTCCAGCGTCCTTCAAAAGCTACAGGTAGGACCGGGGCACCTCACTTTCATAGAAGAACGGAATGAAGGAGCACTTCTGGAGGCCCCACCCCTCCGATCTGACGACGCGACCGGAAGCTTGGGGCTGATCGACAAGCGCCCGCTTTCCCTAAGTATCGCGAGGTAAAACGTGAAAGCAGCCGACAATCAACTGGCTGGCGGGATCAGTGACGTCAGACGCGAAACGCCGGGCCTACAGCTAGAGCGTGAGGTGCTGCACGGGTTCTGTTTGGAGGCATCTTTGAGCTGTCCGAGTGGTCATCATGAGCAAAGCTCACCCTCCCGAGTTGAAGAAGTAAGTGTGTGTGAGGGCCGCGCCCTCGTGGCCGCTTCTTGCTGTGTCTCGTGTTCCTCAGATGCCCCGCCATTTCCTGAGAGTGCGCCTGGCGTGCGTATTCCGGTGCGCGGCCGCGGCGATCCGGGCCGGAGTCCCGCGCTTCGGGGCCTGAAACCCGCGCGGGAGTCGTATGTCGGCTGGGGGGTCGTGGTTACCAAAGGCAGCAAGGCGCCTCGGTCCAGCCGACTTGCCTCCCAGGCGGGACCTCGCGGCCCCACGTCTCCCCCACTCTCTCCCTCCTTACTTGAAGATCTTGAGTGCCATCCTTTGTAGCATCATGTTCTAGATGCTGGATAGTAAGTCTATAAGGAACTAAGGAGATGGGTGGGATGGAAGCGTTTGTTAGTATATGAGGAATCAAAAGCCGCCTTAGTCTTAAAGGATGTGGTTGTTCCTTTGAGTTTTAACTTAGAAATCCCATTTCTTTTTCTTGCGTGCTTGTACTTAGGTTAAGCTTGAATGTCATATGATACGTTGCTCTGTTAACAGAAGTTTGTAAGAAATTCATTTTTTCTAATTAGAGAAGGCCAGAGGGTTGGGATTGGGGGCGGGGCGGGGGAGGGATACCCAGTAAAATCAACTCGAAGTAGTGTATTCCTACTTTAGATATGACCCAATTTACAGTTTTGGCGTCCTCAGACACTCTTGACTGAACTTAGCATGTTCCATGTTTCCTAAGTAACTTCTCCATCATGCTTATTCTATGTAATGCTGGAATTCTGCATGTAGTAGTTGGATAGCACAAAGGATGCAAAATTGATCCAGGAATCAATTTGTGAGGCAGCCATCTCGTCTGCCTTGTTTATAGTTCATTTATTATTAGCCTCATAAAAAGTTAAACTTAAGGAAAGGTTCATATTTAATAATTTTGCATTTAAATGCACATTTGTATTAAAGCCATCTTTTGTGCAAAAACTCCGTGTATATTTTAATTGGGTCTGTTAAAGATTTAATTATTAAATTATAAGCCTAACATTAAGAAAAATAGGAATTGTTGAGAAAACGCTTATCTAAGTTATTCTTTTATTGGTGAGCTGGTAAAATCTTGTAAGTTTTGTGTGAATTCATCAGGAACTGGTGCAATGGTAATTATTTTGTAACAAAAGGACCATAAGGTTTCCCTTTTGATTCTTAAGACATTATTTGAGAATTTCAAAAGATGAAACTAGTTTTAATTCCTCTCTTCTTGTCTCTAGATTTCATGAATTGCATAATTCTGTCAGGGTTGCCTCCAAAATGACTTAAATTTTTTCTTCTGTTAGTTTCTCATAAATATCTTCTTTTACACTTTTATACCCTCCTACTTTAGCATAGCTGAGTGGTTCTTAACTGCAGGATAGGGAGTCTGGTTCTACCAGGATCTAGTAGGCAGAGGCCAGGGTTGCTGCTAAACGTTCTGCAGTGCACTGGACATCACTCAGCAACAGAATTATCTGGCCCCAAATGTCAGTTATGCCAAGGTTGAGATATCCTGGCCTAACCAAATTCTTCTTCCCACTCTTAAAAACTGCTGCCAGAGTAGTTGTCTTTTTTTTCTTTTTTTTACTTTTACTGAGATATAATTGACATACAGCACTGTAGAAGTTTAAGGTGTATAGCATAATGATTTGTCTTACATACAACACAGTAGTCTTAAGAACGGCTGACCGCCGCAGTAACTTATCACTGTCTACATAATAAAGTCCAGACTTCCTTCTTCAAGCTTCTCTACGTGAAATCCAAGCACCAAGTATTACACACACTTATTTGAATACCATGTTCTCCAGCCAGATGGAACCATTTGATTTTGCTCAAACTTTTTCACTGCTGTGTGACTTTGAAAATTTTACTTAACGTTTCTCAACCTCAGTTCCCCATTATTAAATGGTGGTAATAGTAATACATAACTTACAAAAGCTGTCATAAGGATTAAATAAGCTCATATGTGTTATATTTGTGTGTTTTATATAACATATCCTATTAAAATAGATTGTTTTATATATCATACTATATATTTTTACTTGTAAAAACCTATCTTGCACCCTCTGTCTGGCTCCATGTCTTAACTTTGAATTCTCCCATGTTATACATGAAAATTGAATGAAGTTTCATATTTTCTAGCCTCTAAACTGGAAGAGGTAAAAACTGGTTTGACTTGCATGCCTTCGTATTCTCATACTACCCTGCGGAGATGGAATTTCCTTCCTTAATTCAAATTACTTCAAACTTCAAAAAATGCATTTATTTTGCTAATGTATACATATGTGTTGAAGAATATCCTGAACACTTACTATTCATGCTCAGTATTACACTAAGTATTGTCTCAAATATAAAGTCATACCTGTTGGGCTGGGTATGGTTTGATTACCTTCTGGTTTCTTCACAACTTTGGTTCTGAAAATAACCAAAATAAAACCAAATTTTTGTTTTTCTGTTATGGTTGTAAAATCTTGTCATTGAAAATTAGGTCAATATTGAACAAGAATGTTTCTGTAATTCACATCAGTATAAAGATTGAACTTAATGTACATTAATATATATATTCTAACTCCATCCCATTTTCTTTATCTTGCCCCTTCCCAAATTACATTGCTCAGTGTAAGTTCTAACTGAGGTAGCCCATCACTCTCATCCTTTACAGCAGTACAAGGTTTTTATACTTTTAAATTGTATTATTCCTATTGTATACATTGTAGCACATTATGTTTATTATACCTACTTTTGTGCTTACTTACGCTTAAATTTTTTTAATTAGTTACCTAATCTTTACCCCTTTTGCTTTTTCAGATTTATGGACAAGAAGTTATCATGTAAGTTTTTTGGATTTTTTTTAATTATCCAATTGCTGTTTACATGTGCCTTAGCAGTCTATGTTTGGAGCAACTTTAAAAATTCAAAGCCCACAGAACCTCTAAAATTTACATGCATTAATTAAGCGGGTTTATCAAAATCCTAACTTGACAATTTCATTTACTTAATTTCTTATATTTAGTAGGTTTCACAGTACTTCAGACCTTTCATTATTATTTCAAATAAGCCCTGTCTCACTTTGACAGAATTAACAGGATTTTCTGTTTTATGATACTTGAAAACTTAACTAAGATTCTGACCCACCCAATACTCAATAGGGGTTAAGACCATGCCTTAGAGGCAAGCAGCCTTCACTTTGAATTCCAGCTCTGCCACACAGTAACTGTATAATCTTGAACCAGTTACTTAAAAGCTCTATACCTCAATTCCCTCATAAAAAGTTAAGATAACTCTACTTTAGAGGAGTCTTATAAGTTTAATGTGGAAGTAAATGCAAAATGTTGAGCTCAGTGCTTGGCATATAGTAAGAATTGTACATCTCAAATACCTGGATTTTATCTCAGCTAAACTTTAATCAGGTCAATTAACCATTCACCTTACAGTTAATGGTCAGTTTTATTAAAATTTCTTTTTCCCTTTGTATAGTGAAATTAAATGGTGGCAGACATGTCCAAGGAATACTGCGAGGATTTGACCCCTTTATGAATCTTGTGATAGATGAATGTGTGGAGATGGCAACTAGTGGGCAACAGAACAACATTGGAATGGTGGTAAGTAAAGATAGATGATCTTAGAGATCTCGTTTTTCTTTTTGAAGCAAGTATTAGCTTTCCTTCTATCAAACTCTTGAATTGAATTGAAGTTAGGCAAATTACATGCAGGATTAGACATTCCATCTCCCTTTTAGTTTAACATGTGGCGGTCATTCAACTGTTACCTATAGGTTAGAGCTGAATCTTACACAGAATCCAGTGAGGTCATTGGGCTTGAAATAGCTGTTGGAAATCATTTTTGAGCTTTATTCTATAATAGAGGCCTCTACTCAGTCCTTCATTAGAGCAATAGTTCTCAATCTTAGTTGCATTTTAGAATCAGATTAGTCTGGGGTGCAGCATAGTTTTTTAAAGTTCCCCAGATGATTCTAATGTAAGACAGAGATTAACCATGGATCCAGAGCATTTACAGGCAATGAGGGCTTTTTTTAAAAAGCAAACAAAAACTATGCCTAGACTCTACTTCAAAGCAATTGAAACTATCTCTAAGATTTTTTTTGTTAAAAGATCTTGGGTAATTTTAATGTATAGAAAGGATTAAGGGCTACTTATCAAACTTTAATATGCTTATGAATTCTCCTAGAAGATCTTGTTAAAATGTAGATCCTAATTCAATAGGTGTGGGATAGAACCTGCAATTTTGCATTTCTCACAAGTGCTCGTTTGATGAAAATTTGCCAGTCCACAGATCACACTTTTTGAGTTTAATTGTGTATGCAATTACCCTAGATTTCCTGGTTTATCACACTCAAATATGAAAGTAATCAAGGTAAAAGTTGCCAGGGATACTCACAATGACAGCTATTCACATGGAAGGAAACAAATACTGAGTTCCTAATTATAGGAGCAAACATTTCTGCATTCATTAGGTGGTAGTGGTATGACTACAGAAAAGAGTTTTTGATGTTTGTCCCCAAAACCCAGGCTTTGTTTTTGGTTTTTGTTTTTTTATTTAAGTACAGTCAGTTACAATGTGTCGATTTCTGGTGTACAGCAGAATGTCCCACTTATGCATATACATACATATACTCCCAAAACCTAGGCTTTGAATTCCACTCTTTGCCCAGCACAGGACAGTAAGTGGTAAGTCTGAGTTTCTTGGGCAAGGTGAATCAAAAAAGACAGCTGTAGCAAATCATTGAGCACATACACCTCTAAGAGGTGGTAAGAGTTCCTAATTATTAGCCGTGATTTTGCCTCCCTTTTTAAAATTTGAACAGTAGAGGGGTGTAATTTTTCTTAAATCACCCCTGCCAAGGTTTGTGTTATTGTTTATTTCAATGTGTTTCCATTACTTCATTTTGAAAAAGCAAGTCAGTGATCAGGGTCAGAAAAACAGCCTAGAGTCTCCAGGTCTGAGACTCCCCACCTGCAACCACACATTTCATGTAAATTGGCCTCTTCAGGTATAGTCTCCTTGAGCTTCTGTTGAAGATGAATAAAATTGTGGGCAAATCATTAGCAATGGTTTCTTATAAAAACAATTTTTGAGTACCCCAAGATTTCTCTCTAGCCCTTCCTTTTACAAGTCAGGAAATCTTTGTTCTAAAAGAGGGTAGATTTGGTTCTTATCCCAAAAGATTGCTGAAAAAGGATTCAAGAAGGACTTGACATCTACAAGTCAGTTCTAATTTGGGAGGATAGCTTTTTAGAGAATTGGGTGACACTTCTTGAAAATTAATCAGAGAAAGAACTGAGCCTAGATCATGGATGTTTCTTGTAATTTTCCCCCTAAATTTTAAAGAGCTTAATTTTCTTTACACAGAAACTGGTTAAAAGCACTGCTATCCCATGTTGGTCGGATACTGAGCACCTGCTCGCTGTGTTGGGCCTTCTGCTATTCCATGTCTGATGCTTGCTGTGTAACAAAGTTTGCATTTAGTAGTGCTGATTCTTACAACCAAGTTAACACTTTGAAAATTAAGTAATAATTTATCATTTGTCTTTAATTTTTAAAAATATCTAAAGAAAATGCAGAATGGCTTTTCTGAGGAAAAGAAGGGAAACAAGTTACGGTTTTGTTTTTGTTTTTTGCAGGCTGCCTGGCTAAGGAGACAGTTACAGTGGCTTCATCTTTCCCTTGTCCAATTCAGTGACCCATTGAGGCCATTGAAATTACTTAATACGATTCAATTAAGAACACTATGAAGAATATGTGTGTTCTGAAAGGGAGGTAGTTTGTTTTGGGGGATCTATCAGGTAGATAATGGCCTAATGCTGTCTCAGCTAGCCTCTTCTGAGGCATCTCCAGAGCTGTCACCTGTCTTACTTCCTTAAGATTCCACTCCACTCCAAGGTTCCCTCAAGAATGTGGTTAAAATTGTGCATTTTATGATGCTACATATTTTAGAAGTTCTTCCTAGCTTTGTGCTCCTATTAGTCTATTTAGGTTTATATTCTCTGTCCTTTCAAGAGACTGAAAAAGCCTGAGCAACACTTTCCAAAAACTTAGTATTAAAGCACAGCAAAAGGAGCAGTGTGGAATTCTGGACCTGATAGTTCCAGTTTGATCTGGAGAACAGGGCCTTGAACACAATGGGAAAAGAGGGAGAGCGCTGCCCAGCAGAGGTGCTCACCCACCAGCCTTAATTCCAGTGAGTTACGGGAGAAGGCAAAGAAGCGTGTGATACCATCTTAGAAAGTGTTGATGGTGGTTTTATTTTATTTTTTAATGGTGGGAAAAGGAAAAAGCCTTCAGGGCTGAAAATCTTAGTTATCTGAAATAACTTCTCTCCACCACCCTCCACTTCTAGGCTAGTGTCAGAAATGGGCACATTTAGGAGGGAGCTAGGAAAGAAGGCTCATTTTTCGTGTTTTGATCAATGAGATGTGATGTTCATCATCTGTTGCAAATAAGCCAGGAATTTAAAACTGAGAACTAGGTAATCATGTTGTTTAGCCTTCTTCATTTCATCTCCTAACTTACAGGAAGCGTAAGAGTCTGTAGGTTCCTTCAGTCCCCATTACCATCTTCAGGGTACTTTACTCTTTTAATGAAGCTCTTTAATTCGTTGCCGCCTTCTCACTTCTCGTTGCTGTTTGTCACTGCCAGGCTCCAAGACACTTTCCGACCTGCAGCGTCCCTCTCCAGTCTGCCAGCCGCAGTGATCACATGCAAATTCATTTGTTTCCTTAGCGGACACTTGTGGAGCCTTGTGTGTGCCTGCCACTGCTTCAGGCACTGGGGGCGTTGTGCCAAGCAAGGTCCCTGCCCTCAGAGAAATGACAATAGTGTATGTAATAAGTAAATCAAGCAAGCAAGCAGAATGAGGGGAGAAGAGAACAAGTTACAGCTAATTTTACTCCACCTGCCTACAAGCATAGTTCCACTTTGAGTCTGCGGAATGCCTCCATTTCTAATAAATTGTTACATGTCCCCTCACCCCTTCTGTCCTTTGAGCTGTCCAGCTCCCTGAACTGATCTGTAATTGCATTATCTACAGTCCCCCAGGGGCTTCTTATTTTCACAGTCCCCTTCTGGTTTGACTTTTCTGCCCCTTCTTGAGCTCAGTTACCAGCCCTTTCACCTGTGCCCCCTTGAGTGCCCTTGCTTATCTTCCCCTAGGAATGGCTACTGTGTCAGACACTGTACCCCTAGGCCTTTTCTTCTCTTCCTCCCTCCAAGTTCCCACTCATTCTTTTATATGTGCTTTTGCCAAAACTGGTCATTCCCCCACCTGTGAAACTCACTGGCTCATTGGTTTCAGGATGCCCTCCAATCAGTGTAAGATTAGTGTTCAGTTGGGTACAAACTGTCTTTTTCCCACTTCCCTTCGTAACCTTTTACTGTATTCAAATTAGATTCTTTCTTTATCACTTTACTCTTTTTATCTCAGTTCTATTTAGAATTTCCTTTCTGTCAAAATTCTACCCAATTTTCAAGACCCAACTAAAATGTCATCTTCAAAAGGCCTACTTTTTTCAACTTCCATCCTAGTTTGTTCCCTAAATGATCTTAACACCCCTAAGTTGACATATGTTCTATTGTACCTATTTTTCTCATTAACTTTTGGATCCCTTAGGGGCAGGGATGGTCATGTTCATTTGAGTCCTGTAATTTGGGTGAAATGTTTTGCTAAATGAATTGTTTTTAAATTCATTTTCTTTTTCTTAGGTAATACGAGGAAACAGCATCATCATGTTAGAAGCCTTGGAACGAGTATGAACAATGGCTGTGTTCACCAGAGGAATCAACTGCTTCCACGTGTCCCCTCTCCACATTTTGCTACGATAAAAATTGGGTCGTGTACATTCTCCTATTGAACTTTTTTTTTTGTTAGATAAACTTTTGTGATAGTCAAAAGTGCCTTCTCAGATGTTTTGAACATAGAAAATATTAGCTCATGTTTTGACTTTTTTCTGTTATGACTGTTCCTGGTTGAGGCTGACTTGTTCAAAGGGTTTTGTGTATTAAAATAGAAGAGTCTTATTAAATGTGAAATATGACAAGGATGCCCTTTTCCCCTGTCTTTTACCACTGAACAGAGGTAAAGAAGCTGCAAACCGAGTGGGTTTCTTCTGGAACATTAACTGGAATTTTCAAAATTCTTGAAGTAACTTTGAGGTACTCTGACTTTCCAGGTACATCCACATTCCAAGTACAGTTGCAGTCAAACACTGGTTTGAACTGCACAGATCCAGTTGTATATAGGTTTTTTCCAGTAGTAAATACTACATTATTACACCATCCATGGTTCAGTTGCAGGTTCAGAACCTTGGATAGCACAACCACGTCCATAGAGTGCTGACTGTAAGTTACCTGCAGATTTTCAGCTGCGTGGAGGGTCAGCACCCCTAACTCCCATGCTGTTTAAGGGTCAACCATATAGCACAACAGAAGTAAAACACAGGAAATAATGATGTTTTATTTTGAACATAAGTGGGGAAAATTTTTGAATATAAGAGTAGAAATATATTTGAGAAAAACATTCCAGTGCATTGTGATTCTTTGTGGAATAGAGGATAGTGATAATGCTGCCTGTAATATATTCATCTAGTTGGTAAGTTTTATGGTGCACAGCCTCAGATGAGAGCGATATTACAGATGGTTGTGTCATGAACCCAACTTGAGAAACCTATCAAGCAAATGCTTAAGCCTGTTTTTGTGATCGGGTAAAAAGCCTACAATCATGAATCACTTTAACTGGAGAATGGGTGTACACACAATATGTGAGGTACCTGTAAAATAGAACAAAATGGGTGGCTTATATTTATCCCCAAAATGGTATTTCCTATTCATAGGAAATGATTCAGCAAATGAAGAGCCAGAAGGATCAGACTAGAGTTGATGTGAAAGCCAACACACTTTTATTCTCCAGCAGCTCTTTAAATCTTCGCTAATGTTGACAAGCTCGTGTTTTTTGCAACTATACAGAGCTGAATTGTAGATCTGGTTCTCTGTGGTTCCGAGACCAGTAGCATCACCTAGGAACATAATAGAAATGGAGTTTTTTGTATCCCACTCCAAGCCTACTGAAACAAATTCTGGAGGTTAGGCCCAGCAATGTTTTAACAAGCCCTCCAGGTGACTGTGGTGCATACTCAAGCTGGAGAACCACTGGAGCAAAATTTGGCTTTCATTCAGCCCCTACATACATAGTTTTTACCAGTCTCTACTATAAAAAGATGATTTGAGTGGCCTTCTGGAATAATGGGCTCTGATAGTATTTTTCTTCCAATTAAAAAAAATACTGTAATTGCATTAAAACTAATATGCTCAATATACCGATAACCTGTTTTTGCTCTTTGAGAAAGCAATCTCAGGTGCCCTGTCAGAAAACAAAATCAGAGTTAGGTTTGACATAATAGCAACATTTTAAATTGGTGTTTTTCTAAACAAAAATATATCCCATTGCAAAACAAGCCTACAAGTGGTAGAAATTAAAATTATTTCATTAGTATTTACCCACTTTTAGCAATATACATAACAGTATCACATTCTCTACATACTGTCTTCATTAAAACAACAAAAGAAAAAATACAAATGCCTCTTAACATACTTCCTAAGAATAAAAATAGTAAAAAGCTGACCCTTTGACAAACTATAAATTTAATCCCTGCCTCTACATCAAATATATCTTGGCAGTTTTATCAGCATATTAATATTCACAATTGTAACAGAAGTAGGGAGGAAATTGTCTTAAATAAGACTCAGTGTTCTCTTTTTCACTAAAGTAGCTACTGCTATAATCTGGAAATGGACTTTTTCTTTTTTAATGTTAACTTGGTTGCAGTTACTTTTAGAATTCAGGAGCTTTTATTTGTCCTTCCAGTGACTAAGGACGGTCACTCGTGATCATTGTACAGATGGGAGAATTGGTTCTCAAGTTTGGCTACATGTTAGAATCATTCAAGAAGCACTCCTACAAGTGATTCCAATGTACAGCCAAGGCTGAGAACCACTGCTTTAAGATTTCAGCAACCAGTTTCTCACCCCAAATGCTACAGTACCTTTAGAAGCATTTAACAGTTTGAGCATATGCTGGATCTGATCAAGCATGGTGTCATTCTGAATATCCCACTCCAGTGCAAACTGCTCTGGAGTAATCTAAGTTGCCTCTGCTGTTAGACTGTCAATGCTTCTTACTATCAAGATTACTTGAGTTCTCACTGAGAGAAATCATTCTCTGCATCATGGATCTGCTCTGATAATGGATTGGGTTTCTTGGGACTTTTAAGGCACTAAGAACCCTTTGGAAACATAAACCCTCACATCAGTGATTCTCAATCCAGGTTGCATGCATACTAGGAACTTTAAAAAGCTACCAAAAAACAGGTCCTATCCTCAATCCATTAAATCAGAATCTCTGTTGTGGGGCTCTGTCAGTATTTTTCAAAGCTCCACAGGTGAGGGTTTGATAACAGAATGCTAAAATTTTATTAGCCAGTATTTGCTTTTCATTTTACTTGAGATTTTTGCATGACATCTTAAGTTTATACTACTGAGACTTCTGAATTTCACCCCTAAATAAACAGAGACAGAAGCAATCAAAAGAACATCCTGAAAGTCCAGACTTCAGGCATGGGCATATTTACTTTGAAAAAGGGTATAAATTACTAAATCCAGGCGTAAGATACCAGCTCCCATGTAGTTTTATGCGAATGAAAATCACATCCAGCTGTGAAGCACAAATCACCTAGTCCCCAGCTAAAAGATAAGTCGTCCTCAAGCACTCACTTAAAATGCTCTAAGGTTTTGTTCAGAATCCAGGGCCCCCACCCCAGGCCTATTAAATCAGAATCTCCAGACGAGCTAGAGAACCCATCTTGTTTAAGAAACTCAGATGATTCTTACGATCAGACACATTTGGGAAATGCTGCTGATGGATTAAAAGAGTTAAGAAATGGTGGAGATGCCACCTTTATGCCTTCATGCTTAATTAGAACCTTGTATCTTCTCATGACTCACTGGGATTACTTTTGTTAAACAATGATAATGGCAAAATAGCTGATTCAAAATCATCTCTGCTCAGACTGTGCTCTTTTTTGCCAGTGATACTCCATTTGGAACCAGGAGGGGGCGAAAAAAGAGATGGTGGTATTTCAGAGCTCAGTTTTAAGTCTCTCATATAAGTCCTCTTGGTCAATCATGTGCATGTGTCCGTTCCAGCGATGGTAGGCGAGGAGAGCAGCATTGTAGCCCGCCACGGCGCTCATTTCCATGGCACTTGCTGCGAACTCTATGCCGCTGAGGTAATAGAGTCGATCATGGAGTATGATGGAGGGGCATTTCTCTGGAGGCGTATAATGAGGATATGCAAACCATGACTGCTTCACAGCATAATCATAGGACACAAAGAGCTTTAAAATTTGCTCTTTGCTAAGAGCTCTTGCGGAAAAGATCTTCCAAACGTGTGCCTTCTCTGCTTTTGGTTGAGGACTATTATCTTCTCTTACGGAGGACACAAACCCAATGCTGTTAATGAACAAATCTGGATTATCAGTGGTTAAGACGGTACCGAGGTCAAACTCATCTAAGGGTCTAGAGCTAAAAACAGTTGAATTCAATTGCCCCTTAATTAAAGTGGTCACTAAAGGTTCGTAGGGTTGATGGAATTCCTCAATTGGAGGATCAAAGTTGAGAAAAGTTATATTGGACATTTTTCGATTCAACGGAGTGGCCACCAAGACAATGTCATAGAAGTCCGAATGGGTCTCAGATCCAGTTTGGTAGACCACTTCATACATCTTTGTGGGATCTCCTAGAGGAAATTAGGAAGCATACATTATTTTTTTAATTGTTTCTAACATACTATAGTTTATACCTTCTAAAAATAATTCTATACCTTCTTAATAGTTTCTCTATCATTTTAAGGAATTAAAGGAAGTTTTCCCTTGCATTATTATTACATTGCCACCAATTTTCTATTTGGAATCAAAAAAAAAAAACCTTGTCAATAAGTACAGAGTATGAAATTTGTACTTTTGAGGGTGAAATTGTCTTTTAAATCCAAGGAGTTATGCTGCTGTACTTGAGCACATTTACAAATATTCCCACACGACACAACACATCCAGTCTAAAATTTCAGCATTTGGAACTGAGCAGGAGATGGTGAAAGAGGTTCTTCTCCCAGAGCAATTATTTTCTGCACAGGAAATGAGGAACAAGACAACAGATGTTCCAGCTCACCTGTCTGTTTGGTCCTTGTTTTCTCCTCTATGGATATTACTGAGCCAGATATAAGATTGCTTTTGGAAGCCTCAAGGAGCCGTGAGCAGACAAGTTTATTGCCACCTTTTACTGCCCAAAGACCAGGATCAGTAGCGGACATTGACACTGCCCCTGTGAGCGGTAGGAAAACAATGTGTTTTAATTCTGACTCTAAGAGACCCTCTCCCCACTCTCCCTTCCCAAGTAGCCGAGCCCTGCTCCAAATGTCTCCAGACACTGCCAAATGGCCTTGGGAGCAAAATCTCCCCCAGTCAAGAACCATTCAACTAATGAAAACTAAAGACACCGTTCCCATAAAGATGCACATCCACATATACATAATTTGCCAATGTTTCTGTTGGGCCTGGGGTTTCACAGAGAAAGGGGGTCTTCTCCAAATCATGGCCCAAAGTCAGGAGCCACCACAGCATCAGGTAAACCACTCCTAACTAATGTCCATGACTATTCCAAGCCCTGACTTACCCACAAAGCCATTGATGTTCATGTTTTGGCCATAATTGACCCTCATGACAGGAGTAATAACTTCATCAAGGAATTTCTCAGAGAAACCTGCTTTCTGCAAGGTTTCCAGAAGTGATCGGTTAAACAGTGCAAGGAAGTCGTCCCCTCCTAGGGAATGCAGTAACTTCTCC